TGAGATACTCGGTGCAGCGACACCACCCCCTTCCACCTTGCGGAAGGAGTAATTTTCCTCAGCGTGTAACTTTAGCCTGTGTTTTAGCGCCCGCTGCGGATGAGCCGGCTGCAGGGAGTGTCTCCCCTTTACCGTCCGGACCCCGCCCAAAATTATCATGGTGAAGCACAGCTGCCAGGCGTACGCTGTGCCTACATGCAGACGGGGTGTACGGGCTTGACTGGGCGCAGGCCCCGTCAAATTTAATGTGTAACTCCCTTTTGTTGAAGTGACAGCACTGAACAGGGCAGGAAAAAAAGGGGGTTGGTGCAGATGTTCAGTGAGAAACCGCTTTGATGTCTTTAATTAAATTTGGTTCCGTTTAGGCTAGTTCCTGCTCCTTTCCCCGCTTCCCATTGCTTCATATGAAAGCGTCAGGCGGAAGATTGCGTTATTCTAGTTGCTTAGCAGGCGAGCTTATCGACAGAGTCTTGCATACCTTACAGCTTTTTACACGTTCTTCATTAATACAAGACTACATGACCATTCATACAGCTGGATATGTTCATTGGGGCAATATTGGGTTTAGTATCTTGCCCAGGGGTGAAACAGCAGTGTGCCATCTGCGTATTGAACCTGCAACCTTTGGCTTGTGAGCCCTGTACCCTATCACTGTGCCACACTGTGTCAGAGAGTGTCATCTCTTGGAAGTAAATAGAAATGTAGAAAAAAGAACTTCCTTTACTGAGAGGATGTGAGAATATAAAGGATCCTCAGTCAGGCCTTGCTGTAAGAACTGTGGTTAGGGGTGAAGTTCACCGCGGTTCCTCGTGGCATAATGATTTATAGGAGCAAACAGGATTCAGCAACCCTTCTGTCCGGGTGCAATCTGTAGAACATTAACTTCCCTGTTTGCTTTTCATAACCAGAGAAAATCTGTGTCCTGTACATTTCCCCGTTTGTGTGAGTGACTTTGTGCCACATACTCCTTAAGCCCCTGACAGGAGGAAGTAAGAAGAGTGCACACACAGAACGTTGTAAAACCACTTCTGTCTGTGTGGTTTGCATCAGCCTCTGGCACGGAACTGTGTCTGGAGCGTAGGCAAACAGAAGGGCCGATGGCATGAGCTTCTCCAGCCCTCACCCGCAGATCCTCTCTGCACCCCCAATCCCCCCCCCCCCACCCCCTCTACAGCGAGGTCACAGGCTGGTGACAGGCCCGTGGCCTTGAGGTTTGGACAGTCGTAAACCGCCGAGCTTTCTGGTCGTTTCGTCTGTCAGTCCCTCTTCCTTAGCAGGCTGCCACCACAGAGGTTCCTCTTCTGGCCCGTGGGAGAGCAGGTCATGGTCTCGGGCTGAATGCAGGGCATTGTGGGAAGGGTCCCGCCGGGCCTCAGTGTGGCGCCGGGCTGTGTGTGGGCCCCCTCGGTGTGGGCCGAGCCAGCAGTATGATGTAGTGATAAGGGCTCGTAACCGAAAGGTTGCTTGTTTAATTCCCCACTGGGGCACTGCTGTTGTCCCCTTGGTCTAGGTACTTAATCTACAATTGCCCCGGTAAGTGTCCAGCTGTACAAATAGATAAAATTAGTACGCTGCTCTGGATAAAATCATCTGCTAAATGATAATAATGTAACGTAATGTCCGCACAGTGTTTGGGACTGGATAGGTGTGGGGACATGTCCTGATGTCCAGTCCCTAAAAGCTCCATGGTGGTGGGCCTGGTCTGTCACTTCACCATGGCCTTCACGTGACTGACGTGGTTTCACCCAAATGCGTTTCAGTTTTACTCTGATGTTCACATGTCAGGATTGACATTTGTACAGTGTAGGGGGTGATAACACCACCCTGTGCCCTTCTGTCTGTCACGTGAACACCAGGAGCAGTCCACTGCACTGTCCACTGTACCTTTATCTTTGTGTCTGAGAACGCCTGTTAGCAGAAAGCCATAAAGCTAGGGCCATATGGTTTTGTGCCGTTTTGTATGGCCTCAAATAGAATGCTGAATCGGAGAAGCACGAGTACTGCAGCAGCAGGGAGCCAGGCTTTCACTCCTGCTCTGTGGGCTGCTGTTCGCCCGCGCTGATTGTTTGAAGTGCCTCCTCCATCGGGCGGCGCATGGAGTGGATATTGCGCTCTCCGCATTACTTCACTAATGAATAACCGCTTCTGAAAGGCCCCTAATGGTTGGTTTGTTTCCACGTACACCCCAGGAGCTGTGGCGCGATGGAAACTCTGATAACGCTCCCCTCGGCGTGAAGCGGAGGGCTTTTCCAGACCCTGGCGGTGCCGCGATAACGCTGAAGGTGACCTTACCGCGGCGGAGGAGAGGGCGGTGAATTATTAACAGGGTCTGCCGTGCGGCCCGCGGAGGCCGGTTGCCGGGCCTGCTCTTCCGCCCTGCCCCAAGCGAGCACAGCCACTCCGTGGGTGCGAGGCAGCTCTGGGAGTAAAAACAGCCCTAATCCTTTGCCTGTCTCTCATTCTGCACCGCGCCGCCTCTCTCCTCCACCGCCACATGAAAGCCAGAGCGCCGGGGAAACCCGAAAGAGACTGCCGTTATAGCCGCGGGTAACTTTTCTGGGCTCTGCAGGAAATCCACTTCTTTTTTTTGAAGGGGCAGCTTGGTGTGGTGGTTTTTTGTTTTTTTTTTTTTTTTTTTGGAGCTGAGTTTGTTGCCAGTAGTTCGCAAGCTCACTGTCACTGGTGGAGGACTACTTCTGAACAATTTGTGGGAGGTACTTAACCGGAATAGCTTCGGCAAACATCCAGGTGTATGCAGTACGTGGGTTGTGTACCAGGTAAAAGCAAGGTGCCCTGAGAAACACACCTACCATGTGAAGAAATAATCTTTGAAGTGGGGGTTTTCAGGGCACAGTGAATGGAATGTGGCAGTGACCTTTGATGGGGACGTTAGTGAGGACAGCAGAAAGGATTACAGCAGGACCATCTGATGTCGGCTGGCCAGGCCCTTGGCAGGGTTACTGGAAGATGCAGCCCTTTGTTAATCGATCCTGCTTGCTGTACAGGTGGAAAACCCTGTTCCTGAGCAGTCTGAATGTGCTCTCCTTGCCTACACAATGAATCACTGTGTCACTGACAGATGAACGCGTGTGAGATCTAAAGATAGAGAACTGGCCGTTTTGGGTCCGAGTCCGGCATCACTGAGCGGGGCTTCTTTCAGCCGTGTCTTGCAGAGTTTTCCACGCCAAAAGGCGATTTTCATGGATTTATAAAAAATGCATTCCGTTATTGTCAGTAGTGTTTTCCCCACTGGCCCCACAGATGGCATGAGACTCTCTTTGCGATGGTCCCAGCTTGGCGCAGTTTTCTGTGGCAGCACTTGTGAGAGTTGTGTACCCTTAGTTGGGAATGAATCTATCCTGAGTGCTTTCAGAACAGCCCAGGGACCTGATCCAGCGTGGTCTGCTTCTATTATTGGTTTATGATTCAGGTATGGGCACAGAGTGTGGCGGTTGTGACTGTCATGAATGCTTTGTCACAGTGGAACTTTGGTTTGGGAGCTGAGTTTGGGCTGCTTTAAAGCTAATCCAGTAGCATGAGTGTTTGGAGAGAAGTTTTAGGAGGTTGGAAACAGAACTCGCACACACAAAAATCGAAGAAAAGTAAAGATACAAAGTGTGGAATTTTTTTGCTTCAGTGCTTTTAATCTCTTACTCAAACAATCAGTCATGTCTTTCTTTATGGGATGGAACTAAAGAGAAGCGATGGCCAATGGAGAACAGATCACCTCTAATGTTGTCCTCCATTGGAGACGTCAATGAAATGATGGCAATGTATTTGTCATTATTCATTTTACAGCAGCCGCATCTTTAAAGTTCAAAGTTCTAAACTAAACTGAGCTCTACTGAGGACCCCAAATGACAGCCAAAGCTAGGCATTAAGAGCCAATCAGGGGCTCCTGAGTAGTTCAGTGGTTAAGGCCCTTGTCTTGAGTGCAAGCTGAGCTCTGCCACACGGATTCAATCGTGGCCATGTTGGGGGGTTGGGTTGGGGGGTAAAGCTTAAAGAAGAGCAAGCCTGGCTTACTTTGGGGTAGATAAGAGAGGAAGGAGACCCTCAAAAGGAAAGAATCCTCAAAGTGAAGGTAAGATGTGCAGAGGACTGATGAGAGAGATGGTTAGTATAATTGCATATTAGCACCACTGCGGTTGCTGTTTGTCGGGCTGTTGTTGAGTGTCATTTTGCATGAGGGATAGAGAAGGCCCTAGCGCGTGAGCCGAACCCGAACCCGAACCCAAACCCGGTCCCGACGGCCCCGCCCTCCCTCCTACGGCCCGATCGGCCCGCGCCCCAGCGTCCCTCGCCGCTCCGCGCCGCGCTTGGGTTTGTGACGCCGCGCGGGTCCGTCGCAGCTCCAGAGCCGGCCAATTAAAACAAACCGCAACACGCTGGCGCAGTGGCGGAGTGTGCAGCTCCCCGACTGTTTCCTCCATCTTGCTCCAAAAATAACCCTCGCAGACCGTTTAAACTCCCAGCAGGCCCCCTCCCCCCCCCCCCCGCCAGAGGCGAGGAGGAAAGCAAGGAGATGCACAGACACATTTGCACTTAATCGGCAGCACTTACCCGGCACCCTGGGTCGGCGTCTGCAAGAAAGGGAAAAAAAAATCCCTATATATCAAAGTCTATCCTACAATTATCAAAATACAGATGTGATTCATTATCATTAACATGCAGAAGGAGCTTGAAGTGAGTTTATAGTTTTCCTGTCGTGTTTAAACTTAAGAAGCATTTGAGAACACGCCAATGCGCTCAGACACTCTCAGGGATGGTGAGATGAAATGGCTAGTCAGTGTTGCCTGGGATTATGTAGTGTGTAAATTCAGGAGAACATTTTAATGATTGATTTTTAACATTACATTATTGTAATTTAGCAGCTGCTGTTATCCAGAGTGGCGTAGACAGGTTACATACAGGTTTTTTAAATGTTTTGTACATGCTGTACATTTATAAATTTAGGCATTTACTGAGGCAACTGTGGGTTGCCTTGCCCAGGGGTACAACAGCAGTGCCCTAGTGGGGAATTGAACCAGCAACCTTTTGGTTACAAGCCCAGCTCCTTACCACTATGCTACACTGCTGCCTTGCCACTGTTATATCCTGTTGGTGTGGAAATACAGTCATTGGTGTAGCTTTAAATGTTAAGCATGCAAATACCTTAATAAGGTCAGTCAGGGGTTCAACAGCTTATCGACCACCAGTAGATGTAGAGAATGCTGTTGATTCCATTTTCTATTTGCAGCTGCTGTGTGGTTTGACATACCTCAGTGGAAATGGTTTTCACATTTAATAAGTTATTGTTGTAATGTTCATGTAGATGGTGCCGTCACAATTCAGACAAAATAGACACAGTGTGTGTTTTATTCCCCTCTGCTTTCATATATATAAACTCTTGCACTGGAAACGTTCAACACCACAACTGAGGAATAAATAGCCTGCTCTGTAATAATGAGGTCTGGTACTTTCCTACCATCTGAGTCTAAAGGATTGAACGCGCACCTTTTCTTAAAGCAGCTTCCTGCAAACGATACCAAACTCTGTTAAGCGCAGTACTTCTGTTTTTGGTTTTGCTTTGTCAGAATTGGCGCGCGTAGGAACTCGGTGAGTGAGTGCATCCTTTTCAAGGCAGCTGTTCGCAAAGAGGTGTATGTGCAAGCACACTGCGTGCAGGGAGCAGGGAGGTTACGCCGAGGTCGGGACTCACTGTGGTCAGTAAAGATCCTGTGGCACAAACTGCTAAGAACAGGTCCCGGTGTCTCCGCCAAACTCCCAGTTTGTCTGTCTGAAACGGGCCATACTCACCCACAGTATAGCATAACATCTCTCTCTCTCCACCTCAGCTAATGTGTTGTAAGCATTGTTGTGCGGTATGGTTGCAATGTGAGTGGTGTCACCCCCTTCCCTCCATTTACTGTAGAGCAGTTTGAGGTCTGGGAAAGGCATCTTACAAATACAATATTTATCATTCATTTTAGTCTTAGTTGCAGGGAAGTGACAGGATTGGTTTTGAATGGATCGAGTTTTATGCAGGGTATGGCAAGCTGGAAGGGAACAAACTGATTGAAACCTGCATCTAAATGACGAGGAATGAGGCAGAATCCCCCTGCCGTATTTCAGTGACAGGTCAGCAGAGACGCTAAGCAGCTGGAAGCACAGTCGCAAGTCCAGCTGAGAGGATCTTGCCTTTTAATTTTGATAGCTGCTTTTTGTGGCATTGTTTGAAATGGTTGAGTAATGACAGCAAATAAACAAGGCCCTCTAATTTGCTTCCCAGCACGACTTCGTTTTTGATGAATGTGCATATTTCCATTTATAACATTCATATTGTTTGAGATGTTGGGGGAAAGTCCTGCTCCATTTGAATCAGCAGATTCATTATCAGTATGCGTGCTGGCAGGCGTTTTTAAGAGCGGGGATAGCTGAGACTAATGCCGGCTGAGTGAACACAGTCGTTTAAGGAACTGCAATGCCTAACATAGTTAGTATGAAAGGACGTCTCATACATGTTGTTGTCATAATGAAATTAGCTGGAGAGCGTGACATAGTTAGTCAGTTAAAAAACCTAATTTTGCAGCAGCGTTACTTCTGTATTTGTGTTCTCTTTTTTGCAAATAACTCTAGCTAAATATAATTCTTTTTTTTTGGATTTTCCATTTGTGTTCTGGGCCCCAGAGCACCACACCAACCTACTCTCTTTCACAGTTTACGTGTTGCAAATGTCTATAGCATTAATATGCATGTGCAGAAATAGACATATGCACTTGTTTATTGCATTTCACATGCTTGTGTTGTTTCATGTTGGGAACAAATCCTCCTTATGCACCAGTCTTCTGTTGATGGTGTTGGCAGATATATCCATGCTCTCAGATCTCGGGAGCATTTTCCCCCTGAGGGGTGAGGGTCTCCTGCAGCTGGCTATCCGGTCATTCCTAAAACGGGCACAGGCCATGAAGCCGCCTCCGACGCAGCGTATGACAGCGTACCATAAACCACCGTCATCAGGAAGTCGGTGGTGCTGTTAGTTGCAAGCTTTTCATTTTTGAACAGGCGATGAGCTGTTGTCCTTTATTCATCACATTACATTACATTACATTGTTGTCATTTACCAGACACTCTCATCCAGAGTGGCTTATGTAGGTTTCCACTTTCACATGTTATCCATTTAAATACAGCTGGATATTTACTGAGGCACTTCTGCAGCAGTGCCCAAGCAGGGGATCGAACCAGCAACCTTTCGGTTACCTGCAGCCTTTCAGTTACGAGCCCTGCTCCTCACCAATATGCCACGCTGCTGCCCTCACTGTTACACACGGCCGCCCCACATTCAAGCGCAGCAACCCCCTGGAAGAGCGAATCCTCTCTGGGAGGAAACGCAGTGGTTTGAGTGGGCCGGGAAGTGCAGTCTCTGCACGTTCTCCCGGGGAAATCACTCCCCCGTGCCCTTCCATTCTGCCCCCACCTCCTCTTTCCTGTGCTACTGCTTACTGTCTCTCTCTCTCTCTCTCTCTCTCTCTCTCTCTCTCTCTCTCTCTCTCTCTCTCTCTCTCTCTCAAATTCAAGGTCAAATTCAAATGCTTGGCAGCTGTGTGACAAGACGACGAGCATTTGCAAATGGCACTAAATACATGATGAGATGGGAGATGGCGGATAATAAAAAAACAATAGCGTTCAACTGCGCTGTCCCCACCTTACTCTAAGATGAATTTAAATGAAATGGCAAACATCAGCCTCAGAATTACTGGGGTGCAAGAATGTTCTAGCTCTGTGCAGCCCAAGCACTCTCCCAGACTGTGGCAAGCAGAGGCACAGTGGGCTGCCAGCTCCTTTCTGTCTCTGTCTGACGGCTGCAGCGTCGCAGCTGGTCCCACGTCAGTTGAGGAGACCTCCTTCCTGATGTCCCCCGCGTCCGGTGCTCCTGATTCAGGCTGACCCCGGATCAGTGTGGGAGCGGCGAAAGGCGGCGGGGCAGAAAAAACGGACACCCTCTCAGAGGACGTTGCAGCGTTGAACGTCAGAGTGCGGGATTCCATCGGCTTGGCCCAAAGCTAACGGTCACGGTTCAAAAATGCAGCCGAAGCCTTCGCCAGGAAGGATTTTTAGAAGTTTTTTTTTCCATCTCATAGGAAGTGACTGGCGGAATGCTGTGTTTGGCCGCCCTGCAGGCCTCAGGCTTGGAGCGGGTTGAGCCCTACCGAAGTGTACTTTTTTTAAAAACTGCGCAGCGTTGCTGCACATGCATGCAACCCATGCGAGACAGAACCCGCCACAACAGCGTTGCTGTTTATGTATCCAGATCTGTACAGCCAGATCAGGCTCTCTGTAGCCGTCCTGACGCTTTCGCTTTACCCAGCAGCCCTGTTTATCGCACCCCACGCTCCGCTGCACCGCTGCTTTGCCAGAAATGACTCCGCCGGCAGCCCTCTGAAACTGCCGTGTGCGCAGACCACCTGGCTTTTTCTACAGGTTCTTGCGGTGCGGCTGGTGTTGGTGCTCGCCGCCTAACGGTCTGGAGATCACGTGGTTTTCTGTAACCTGGGGCGACGGTCTCCTGCGTGGACCTGTGAGGGTGTGGGTTCAGATGAGAGAGGGAGAGGGAGAGAGACAGAGAGACTGAGACAGAGAGGGGGAGACAGAGAGAGACAGAGAGAGGGGGAGACAGAGAGAGGGGGAGACAGAGAGAGAGAGGGAGACAGAGAGAGACGGAGAGAGAGAGAGGGAGAGAGAGAGAGAGAGAGGGAGAGGGAGAGACAGAGACAGAGGGAGGGAGAGACAGAGGGAGAAAGAGAGAGGCAGAGCCTTCAGCCCTGCCCTAGTTCTGTTTATCAGTGCCAGCCTGTTTCCAACACATCGCAGACGCCCTCCCCCCCATCCTCTCTGTCTCTCTTAGATAAGAGGGCTCCTCCGCCACTGGCTTAACCAGTTTGGTGTGGAAAGGTGTGTTGAGGCTCTGTACGTGCACGTGCGCACACACACACACACACACACACAAAACAAGCATCTGTTCACTCGTGTATGCATGTGGACAGTCCCACCTCAGTAATCATCTCACATACGGCTACAAACACACACTCAAACATATGTAGACGTTCTGTGCCAAAACCTCTTGTGGTCTGGAGCTGTCCTCTAAATAGCACATTAACCCTCCCCCCCAGTGAATTTTTACGGAGGGCATTTAATACTGTCAGTCACCTCTGCTGTAATGATGGGGGTTGCCAGGCTGGCCTAGAATCTCCTGGAGGGTGGTGACTAAGGTCCCTGCCACTCGGAACAGCCACGCCTTGAGGAGGTGGAACTCCTGCGCTCCTCTGCAGACCCTTTCTCTGAAAGCCGCCACCTCTGTCCCACAGGAGCGAGATCGAGGATCTGGGAGACAAACTATCGACCGTGACTAACGGCGTTCACACAGTAGAGTGGCCAAGTGCGGGGGGGGGGGGGGGGGGGGGCGTGGGGTGGAGGGTTAAGGGGATCAAAGTGAATTTTGATTTCTACACACAGAGGGGTTTTTTTCCGCCTTTGAAGTGGAATTGGCATCGTCGTCTTATTAACAGCTGAATCTCTGATGGCTCGTAAGAAGGAATCAGGCCCTCTGTATCGGTACTGATTTGCTCATTTGAATTTCAGATGTACCTAATTGAATGGCCCCTTTTTTGATTCGTTCCCTTAGGGTGAGAATTTTCCATTACCCCAGAGAGCAAAAATGTCGTGATAATCATGTCTGCAGTGAGACATTGTTATGGTGTTCTCTCCGTGGATGACAGAGTTGGCTTTCTGGAGCTTCAAGCATCAATGAAACCTCTGTTTTATTTTATAAACTGATGTGTGATCATTTGTGTAACCTTTTCTTTTGCTGAATTTTTATACTTCATCAGGTTACAGGCCCTTATGTTTCCACTGACATACATTCGTTGCATTCATTTGCATACATTTTTCTGTAGCTCCTTGCCTCTATGAAAAAAGATGCACAACTTGTTCCAGTTGTAGTGTGAAAGTGCTGATCTGCCAGACAGTTATACTCCAGAGAGGAGGATCGACTCTGTCAGTGTTGTCAGACTTCACACCCAGCAGGTTTGCATCCACTGAA